CGTGTCGACAATAAAATTACTCAACTGCTGCGCATAAGTTATATTTCACTAGTGTTTTGTTCTTCGTTATATTAATTGAATCATTACCTGTTCTGTACACTTTTCCACGTCAAACATGAGCGCATACGTCGACCACTGAAAGTTTTCTGCCGAGAATGTGCAGTACTCTGGACGACTGAATGTTGTTTGTGAAATGAGTGAGGCTGTCAGATCTGGAGTTGCTGGTGGCTCTCAGTGAGAGCGAGAGTGAATCTCTTGGAACTGACGTTTGTTGAAGGTGAAAGTAAAGTGCGAGGTGATGGTTGGGGTGGGGAGAGTGAGAAGGGGAGAGACAAAGTTTGAGGTACTCAAAATGATGGATGGAATGAAGTGTGAGTTACTGAAAATGATAGCAAGTGAGAGTGAAGCATGAAGAACTGAAGATGAAGTACTCAAGATGGTGAAGCATAACGTACTTTAGATGACAGTGAGAGTGAAGTGTGATGCACTCGCTCTAGACACAATTCTAAGGCAAGTCAATACGAAATTTGTGAGATAAACTGCAGACAACCTGAGGTTGTCACGTGTGAGGCAAGTTATTGGTAAGTTAGAGAGAAAAAAGACTCTTGTGATAAAGATGAGGAAAGTGACAGTGTCGGTCACCATCAGGAAAGTGACAGTGTCGGTCACCATCAGGAAAGTGACAGTGTCGGTCACCATCAGGAAGGTCACTGAGGGGAGGGTGTGCAGGATCAGTCACCATCTGCGGCCACTCAAAATAGTAAGATAAAACAGCAGTATGTGATTCCAAGACAACAGAACTTCTGCCAGATGCTTTGCAATAAGAATTTTTCATTCGTCAGAATTTCGGTGCCGTACGAACATATAACATTGGTTAATAATAATAAAAAATTATGACTTGAGGATTTTTGCTGAATAATGTTGATTGTTTACATATGTGACCTTAATCAAATTCACAAGCAGCCAGTCAGACCGTAGTATCACAATGCGACATGAGCGAGAGTAACCACCGTCAGACTATCATGGTTCTCCTTACAACCACAGCTCTCCACCTTCAACATTTCCGGAATGATTCAGCGGTACAATACGAGTATTATGCAAGTGTTTGAGCTAACTTAATAGTAATATACGACCTGGAAGTAAAATGTCGAGATGGTCTCATTCCAGGCCAATGCTCGTGTATCCTGTCTGGAACTGTGTTGAGACATCACAGGGAGCAAGAAGCATAGGAAGGTGGAGAGCCTGGGTGGGTGATTCTGGGGGGCCACAACTGTGACTTCAGCCACACACAACTGGCAGGTAATGAGAAGCCAGTACACATGTGTACGCATTGCTCACACTGGCAACCGTTGAGCCTCGCGGGAGGCTCAATGAGGTGCTCAAGACGGCAGTTCTGGATTCCAGAGGCTTACAAGGGTAATTCCTCCCGTAGATACAAACCCACGGGCCGTGTATCTTTCCTCTCTCTCTCTCTCTCTCTCTCTCTCTCTCTCACACACACTCTCTCTCACTCTCTGAAGTAAAACTGACTCACCTACTCTCTCTAATATTAGGAAAATATTCATGCAGCTTGGCAGAAAAATTAATACTTATAAAAATACATGGAGCTCAAGATGGTCGGGGAAAACAGTACAATGGGATTTAGTATATAATTTTAAGCTTCTGAAAAAATAATGGATTACTTCGGAAAAGTTGTGGTCAGCACTGGAGTGTTGGGTCCCTGCTTCAGTAGGTGAGTGTTGGGTCCCTGCTTCAGTAGGTGAGTGTCGGGTCCCTGCTGCAGTAGGTGAGTGTTGGGTCCCTGCTTCAGTAGGTGAGTGTTGGGTCCCTGCTTCAGTAGGTGAGTGTTGGGTCCCTGCTTCAGTAGGTGAGTGTCGGGTCCCTGCTTCAGTAGGTGAGTGTCGGGTCCCTGCTTCAGTAGGCGAGTGTCGGGTCCCTGCTTCAGTAGGTGAGTGTCGGGTCCCTGCTTCAGTAGGTGAGTGTTGGGTCCCTGCTTCAGTAGGTGAGTGTCGGGTCCCTGCTTCAGTAGGTGAGTGTTGGGTCCCTGCTTCAGTAGGTGAGTGTTGGGTCCCTGCTTCAGTAGGTGAGTGTCGGGTCCCTGCTGCAGTAGGTGAGTGTTGGGTCCCTGCTGCAGTAGGTGAGTGTTGGGTCCCTGCTACAGTAGGTGAGTGTCGGGTCCCTGCTTCAGTAGGTGAGTGTTGGGTCCCTGCTTCAGTAGGTGAGTGTCGGGTCCCTGCTGCAGTAGGTGAGTGTTGGGTCCCTGGTTCAGTAGGTGAGTGTTGGGTCCCTGATGCAGTAGGTGAGTGTTGGGTCCCTGCTTCAGTAGGTGAGTGTTGGGTCCCTGCTTCAGTAGGTGAGTGTCGGGTCCCTGCTTCAGTAGGTGAGTGTTGGGTCCCTGCTTCAGTAGGTGAGTGTTGGGTCCCTGCTGCAGTAGGTGAGTGTCGGGTCCGTGCTTCAGTAGGTGAGTGTCGGGTCCCTGCTTCAGTAGGTGAGTGTCGGGTCCCTGCTTCAGTAGGTGAGTGTTGGGTCCCTGCTGCAGTAGGTGAGTGTCGGGTCCCTGCTTCAGTAGGTGAGTGTTGGGTCCCTGCTGCAGTAGGTGAGTGTCGGGTCCCTGCTTCAGTAGGTGAGTGTTGGGTCCCTGCTTCAGTAGGTGAGTGTTGGGTCCCTGCTTCAGTAGGTGAGTGTTGGGTCCCTGCTTCAGTAGGTGAGTGTTGGGTCCCTGCTGCAGTAGGTGAGTGTCGGGTCCCTGCTTCAGTAGGTGAGTGTTGGGTCCCTGCTGCAGTAGGTGAGTGTTGGGTCCCTGCTACAGTAGGTGAGTGTCGAGTCCCTGCTTCAGTAGGTGAGTGTTGGGTCCCTGCTTCAGTAGGTGAGTGTCGGGTCCCTGCTGCAGTAGGTGAGTGTTGGGTCCCTGCTTCAGTAGGTGAGTGTTGGGTCCCTGATGCAGTAGGTGAGTGTTGGGTCCCTGCTTCAGTAGGTGAGTGTTGGGTCCCTGCTTCAGTAGGTGAGTGTCGGGTCCCTGCTTCAGTAGGTGAGTGTTGGGTCCCTGCTTCAGTAGGTGAGTGTCGGGTCCCTGCTTCAGTAGGTGAGTGTTGGGTCCCTGCTTCAGTAGGTGAGTGTCGGGTCCCTGCTTCAGTAGGTGAGTGTTGGGTCCCTGCTTCAGTAGGTGATGTCGGGTCCCTGCTTCAGTAGGTGAGTGTTGGGTCCCTGCTTCAGTAGGTGAGTGTTGGGTCCCTGCTTCAGTAGGTGAGTGTTGGGTCCCTGCTTCAGTAGGTGAGTGTTGGGTCCGTGCTTCAGTAGGTGAGTGTTGGGTCCCTGCTTCAGTAGGTGAGTGTTGGGTCCGTGCTTCAGTAGGTGAGTGTTGGGTCCCTGCTTAAGTAGGTGAGTGTTGGGTCCCTGCTTCAGTAGGTGAGTGTTGGTTCCGTGCTTCAGTAGGTGAGTGTTGGGTCACTCCCTGTATATGAGCGTCATGGTCTGTGCTCCTGCAGGTGGCCATTAGAATACCACCTTCAGCATGTGACCATTACATTACAATACATTACCACCTTCAGCAGGTGGCCCATTAGAGCACCACATTCAGCAGGTGGCCATTACAGTACCACCTTCAGCAGGTAGCCATTACAGTACCACCTTCAGAAGTTGGCCCATTACAGCACCACCTTCAGCAGGTGGCCATTACAGTACCACTTTCAGCAGGTGGCCATTACAGCACCACCTTCAGCAGGTGGCCATTACGGTACCATCTTCAGCAGGTGGCCATTACAGTACCACCTTCAGCAGTTGGCCCATTACAATACTACCTTCAGCAGGTGGCCATTACAGTACCACCTTCAGCAGGTGGCCATTACAGCACCACCTTCAGCAGGTGGCCATTACAGTACCATCTTCAGCAGGTGGCCATTACAGTACCACCTTCAGCAGGTGGCCATTACAGCACCACCTTCAGCAGGTGACCATTACAGTACCATCTTCAGCAGGTGGCCATTACAGTACCACCTTCAGCAGGTGGCCATTACAGCACCACCTTCACCAGGTGACCATTACAGTACCATCTTCAGCAGGTGGCCATTACAGTACCACCTTCAGCAGGTGGCCATTACAGCACCAACTTCATCAGGAGTCCATTACAGCACCACTTTCAGCAGGTGGCCATTAAAGTACCACCGTAATCAGGTGGCACCTTCAGCAGGTGGCCATTACAGCACCACCTTCATCAGATGTCCAATTACAGTACCACCTTCATCAGATGTCCAATTACAGTACCACCTTCATCAGGTGGCCCATTACAGTAGCACCTTCATCAGGTGGCCCATTACAGTAGCACCTTCATCAGGTGGCCCATTACAGTAGCACCTTCAACAGGTGGCCGTTACAGCACCGCCTTCAGCAGGTGGCCATTACAGTACCACCTTCAGAAGGTGGCCATTACAGCACTAACTTCATCAGGTGTCCATTACAGCACTACCTTCAGCAGGTGGCCATTACAGTACCACCTTCATCAGGTGGCCATTACAGCACCAACTTCATCAGGTGTCCATTACAGCACCACCTTCAGCAGGTGGCCATTACAGTACCACCTTCAGAAGGTGTCCATTACAGCACCAACTTCATCAGGTGTCCATTACAGCAGTAACTTCATCAGGTGTCCATTACAGCACCACCTTCAGCAGGTGGCCATTACAGCACCACCTTCAGCAGGTGGCCATTACAGCACCACCTTCAGCAGGTGGCCATTACAGTACCACCTTCAGAATGTGGCCATTACAGCACCAACTTCATCAGGTGTCCATTACAGCACCACCTTCAGAAGGTGGCAATTACAGCACCAACTTCATCAGGTGTCCATTACAGCACCACCTTCAGCAGGTGTCCATTACAGCACCACCTTCAGCAGGTGGCCATTACAGCACCACCTTCAGCAGGTGGCCATTACAGCACCACCTTCAGCAGGTGGCCATTACAGCACCACCTTCAGCAGGTGGCCATTACAGCACCACCTTCAGCAGGTGGCCATTACAGCACCACCTTCAGCAGGTGGCCATTACAGCACCACCTTCAGCAGGTGGCCATTACAGCACCACCTTCAGCAGGTGGCCATTACAGCACCACCTTCAGCAGGTGGCCGTCACTTTCCCAGACTGGTCAAGGAGCAACTCGGTAACAAATCATCCCTGTCACCAGCTCGTTAATTATTACTCCATGTTCCTCCAGATATAACCTGGAATCAACTGGAATCAACTGTTCTTCCATAAAAAAATCTTTAATACAATAATGTTTTTTTAAAGTTATGCTAGTTGTTAAAGTCTATCTGAACATAAAGCGGGAGTACCAGGCAGAGCTCTACTGGGGATAGGAAAGAGGTGGGAAGTACTGGTAACTTCTTGGTATAGAGCAGAGATTTTCAGCGTCCGTCTCAGTGAAGGAAAAGAAACAAAGGCGCTATGAAACAAGTCCTATATTGCTATAGTATTATAGCTTGAAGGATGGCAGGGGTTGGGTGGTGGTGGTGGTGGGGATGTCTCTCTCCAGGTGGTCCCAACAGAGGCCCACTGGTATAGCAGCTGGCTTCCACAAATGGTAGGGTAGATATACAACTGGGAGGGGGGGAGGGAGGATGAGGAGCCATCATCTGTTGAGGCCACTGGATGTAAGGAAGGATAGGATCAGTCACCAGCTGGGGTGAGGAAGGGTAGGATCAGTCACCAGCTGGGGTGAGGAAGGGTAGGATCAGTCACCAGCTGGGGTGAGGAAAGGTAGGATCAGTCACCAGCTGGGGTGAGGAAGGGTAGGATCAGTCACCAGCTGGGGTGAGGAAGGGTAGGATCAGTCACCAGCTGGGGTGAGGAAGGGTAGGATCAGTCACCAGCTGGGGTGAGGAAGGGTAGGATCAGTCACCAGCTGGGGTGAGGAAAGGTAGGATCAGTCACCAGCTGGGGTAAGGAAGGGTAGGATCAGTCACCAGCTGGGGTGAGGAAGGGTAGGACCAGTCACCAGCTGGGGTGAGGAAGGGTAGGATCAGTCACCAGCTGGGGTGAGGAAGGGTTGGATCAGTCACCAGCTGAGGTGAGGAAGGGTAGGATCAGTCACCAGCTGGGGTAAGGAAGGATAAGATCAGTCACCAGCTGGGGTAAGGAAGAGTAGGATCAGTCACCAGCTGGGGTAAGGAAGGGTAGGATCAGTCACCAGCCGAAGGAAGTAAAGGAAGGTTGGGAATGACAGGTTTTCACTCACCAGCTGAAAACACTGGAGAAGAAAGATTAGAATCATTCACCAGCTGGGGCAAAGAAACAACAGGATCAGTCAGCAGCTGGGGCAAGAAACAACAGGATCAGTCACCAGTTGGGGCAAGATGCAACAGGATCAACCACCAGCTGGGGCAAGAAACAATAGGATCAGTCACCAACTGGGGTAAGGAACAACAGCGGCACTAACTTGGTGCCACTGAGAGTGTGGCTTACACGATCACTCACGAGTTAAGGACACTGGAGGTAGGAAGAACAGAGCAGGTCACCAGCCGAGGACACAGATCAGGGTACGTAGGATCAGTCACTAATTAGGGGACAATTAGGTCCGGCTGAGACACACCGGTAGCTGGTAAGGACACCTTCCATCACAACAAACCATTACACTATCTGGATGATACGAAGAGATCAAAGCACCACGATATATGTCATAATATTTGAACACTAACTCGTGCACTGAAAGTTGAACATGCGTGCTGAACATCCTCGACAATTACGAACTAGGCAGTCATTGCATCTTCGGTCACTTGAACCTAAGATGAGACCTGAAAATATTGCCCAATACGAATCGATCTGAATAAGAGGTTACTGGAGATTCCATTAGCAAGTAAGATGATAGGTAGTTTATGTAAGAAGTTATGTATGGGAGCGCACCATACTGGTGGTGGCAGAGGAGAGGACATGATGGAACCTCTACGTTACTGTTAGGTGAAAGGATACAAGTACAAGTACATTTTATTGTGGCAACGTTTCGCTCTCCAAGAGAAACATATGTACTGTAGAGTTAGGCTATAATATCTGCCTCGTTACTCCTCGTTTACTCCATCAACAAAATGTCTTTTTACCTAACATATTGTCGGTAACTGTACCAACATTAAAACAATCTACGTCACTACATGAGAACAACGGCGTCCTGCGCCTCAACAAGTGTAACTTGTCTTCCAGCTGCCAGAGGGAGAACATCCAGAGAGAGGGAGAGAGAAGCAACAGCTGGAGTATTTGGAGCATTAATTAAGCTGAGAGTATAAAACGAGGCTTCTTGTGGTGGGTGGCAGCCAGATCAAGAAGGGTAAGTATGGCTTGACAACAACAGTATAGTCATACTGACACTGTATGGACAGTCTCGTACACAATTCAAGAAGATGTGGAAACGTTTCGCCACGTTTTACTAGGACTGAAAAAGTATTGTTTACGTTTAACTCCCTAAATAACAAACGTTACCAATGCATTTGTTGAAATGAACATTTCTTGGCTAATTTCTACCATAAAAAGACGGAACCGTCACATCACAAGGTGTTCCAAAGGTCCACTTGCCTCGATAAAGAAGCATCTAACAACGCTTCCTCAAAGTCTTGAACCGTGCACGAGCGTCTGTGTTCACAGACTGCAAACATGTTTGCAGTGATGGCAACAACCAGTACGGACACGATGGAAGCAAACAACACGACACACTACGCTTCACAACACTCATAAATCAAACAATAATAAGGCAGAGGATGGTACTGTAACTACAAGGTCGACACCACAGGTTATGTGTGCGTCTGTCTGGCTATCAGCAAACGGAGGACTGAGCCTCGAACACTCCATTTACAGGACGCACTTCATATGGTCAACCATTTTTTTGTGAGCCGATAAACACTAGGGTGACGGAAAGTCTGGAGAGACTCATGGATTACTATATTCACGGCGAAGTGCTAAATTCGTAATTCGTAGATGATTCCCTTACATTTCACAGAGTGCCTGAGGAATGAAAGGGAATCATCTTGATCATTGGGAAGGGGAGGTAAACACCAGTTCCTTGAATCAAGAACCCGTTGCCAGCATCAAGGGTAAGAGACAGAAAATGTAGAATGTTAGTGGGTGGGATTGAGAGACGAGGCGAGGGAGATGGAATGTCTGACATGTTAAGTGATCACAAGAGGAATGTGAGAGTGAGTATCCCTAACAGAGCGGAATGTTGAGAGTGAGTATCCCTAACAGAGTGGAATGTTGAGAGTGAGTATCCCTAACAAAGTGGAATGTTAAGAGTGAGTATTCCTCGCGGGTCTGAAAATTCAAATGAGTAATTATGGATGTCTGGAATGTTTATACACTTATGTGCAGATATTTTTAGACTGCTGGAATGTCCAGACGAGTATTGTTACATTATGAAAATGGTTGGTGGGAATTCCAGGACTGGAAAACCTGGTAGAATAGTGGGAATGGTAAGTAGTGCATCATATGATGAATGTAATATTAGAACAGGCTTTCATGTGCGATACATTGTACATTATGGTAATGGAAATAGTTACATGTGATGACAATAAATGGTGGTGGGAATGACAAATGAATGTCTTCAGGACAGTGATAATGTTGGAATGTCTGGGCAGACAGGCGTTCAAGGTCAGCAAGATGAGGGTAGGCCTATGTGGGCTTGAATGACCCATACATGTCATGGCTGGGATACAACTTCAGAGGTTTGATGCAGATAGACTTAAATTCACTGACAGCAGAGGAAAGAAAGCTTAGAAATAATTTTTTTTAAAGGCAGGAGTCCCTCGGGAGACAAATCTCTCCAAGCAATTATTCAAAAATATGCGTAAACCCGTATGAGTTATAAACCTGCAGCAAAACCTTCACAAGAAAGAATCATCTTACAAAATCAAGTGAAAAGGAATCTTCTCAAATATAAAGTATTTGACAGGATGAGGAATACCTTCATAAATACTATGTGATATTAGTGGAAAGTAACTGCGTCACACTAGTGGAAAGTAGCTGCGTCACACTAGTGGAAAGTAGCTGCGTCACACTAGTGGAAAGTAGCTGCGTCACACTAGTGGAAAGTAACTGCGTCAAACTAGTGGAAAGTAACTGAGTCACACTAGTGGAAAGTATCGAGTAAGTAACAAATTGTTACAAAACCAGAAACAGGCCAGAAGCAAGAAGGGGACGAATGAGTTAATCCTCTAGTATTCTCTGGAGACATCTGCACTAACAGATGTCACTGTGTAAAACCTTGTTACCTCTCACTCTCCTTCTCAGAAACGACCGGCTAGACAATTTTTTTGCTTACACTCAGCATTTCAAGGTACAGCTTGAAAGTAACTAACTGAGAATGTCAAAAATACATTAATGTGATGATTAAAAATACTCCACAAGACGTCGACACACAAAATAGGTACTCAGATGTCAACACCTGGACTTCAGACTGGCTAATCCCATTGTAAGATACTCAGGGTGCAAGTTTGTTCGCAGCGAAATACAGACAACACTAAACAGATGGAAATACGCTAGAGGGAAAGACTACGACGCCACGCGAGATGTTATTGGTGACAGTACTTAGCTGGAGTGAGGAAGAGAAGGGAAGGAAGGGGAGGTGTTGATAATGAAACCCAGCTGGTGGAGTAAGCAGAGGAGTGGGGAGGAAAGTGAGATGGAAAGGAAGTGATAGGAAGAGTCATCTTCTACTCCTGTAAGTAAGGTCAAGCTGAAAGCAGAAGAATACATGAACAGCAAGGTCATCTAGAGTGGATATATACATGTATGTTTTTATTTTAAGGGTACACGTTGGTCACGTTTATTAAGGGAGACGACCAGTGGGGGTATATGAGGAGGGGATCAAGGGAGGGGGGACTTTTGTAGGGAAGGGGAGGTATTTTTCAAGCTGGGAGAGGGGGAGGTTAGAGGGAAGGAAAGTTTAGGCTGATAGGGGATAAGTTAATGGCCTGGGGTTTGAGAGCTGGGAGTGTTACTCCAGGATGAAGGATGAGGGGAAAAAGGCCGAGGGGTAATGGGGAGGCTGGTTAGAGGGGAGTAAAACTGAGGTTGGTGGGGGAGACTGAGTTCAGGGACATAAACGTTGGGTCAAGGTTTTGTGAGGTCGGAGTGTCGGGGGAGTCCCGGGTGTTCAGGGTGCTGGATCAAGGCTTATTAGGGTGGAGGATTGTGGGTGGGGAGTCCCCGCCGTCCACGCCATGGCGTGGCTCTCATGTACCTAAACAGACATGTTATCACAGATCAGTTGGAACAGTAACAATCAGCACAAGAAATATAAATATTAAAAATTCCACTGTAGCACAAACAAATGTCAAATAATTTGCTCTAAGTTTGCGACGAAACTCAATACATATTCGATGAAACACCTGAAATGCATCACTCTTGCGTTCAACTTTAAAACATTGTTTTGTTATGTACAAAACAAACGGGACGGTACTTGTGTGTAAATGCTGAGACTGTTTCCACTCCCTTCGACTCTGGCGAACGAGGGTCAGCTGAGTATTGCCAAGAGTGTCCGGCCTGCACCATGCCCATTGGCACGGCAACCTAATGGTAAAGTCATACGGGTTCATACCACCAGGGGTCAAGTTGGTGCCAGAGGGGTCATCTACCCACCAAGCACACGTTGCTTTGAGTTCCCAGCAGGGATGATCCGTTGGTAGCAGGACCAGTAGCACACAAAGACCTCCTAACCAATGTACCACTGGCACGCTCTTGTCTTAGCCAGCAGGGCTCAGAGATCTCTCTTGTTTAGCCAACATAGTAGAGGGGGAATCATATTTACAAGGGCCAGCAGGACATAAGGTCCTCTTCATGGCTATCGAGTACAAGGTCCCCATATTCATGGTCAGCAGAGAACAAAGTCTTCTTCATTACCAGCAAAGATAGAAGTCCTCTTGACCACCAGAGAACAGTCACGTCACTGTATGGCCAGCTGAGAACGAGGTCTTCTTCATTGTCAGAAAAGCTCAAGGTTCCTGCCTTCATGACGAGCAGAGCGCTGAGAGTTCATGTTTATCTCCTGCAGCTGAGTACAGGGACGCAGGTATTGAGAACTGCGACTCATTATTTGGATGCTGGGACACTGGCACCACAACTGATATGTTTCGACAACATAACACAGAACTTTAAGATAATCAAATTTGTAAAAAAATAAATTATTTCAACGTAGGACCTTCAGCAATTTCTGACAACTAGTAGAGTGGCAAGTGCTGTACTAAGTGACTCAGAACTGTTATGGTATGAAGTCAATAATCTTTTTTCTGCCTAATAAGAATATTTTAATGAGATATCCGTGTCAATATTGATCGCACCATTGTTCAACACTTACCACGCTACCTTAACAACAGTCTTGCAGTCGTCCTGAAAAATATAATTGGGAAACACAACAAGGCCGTGTCCTTTCAGCATCACCCATTGTGTCAGTTTCTCTTGGGAATAATTCTGCCCATTTCCAATACATTGCTGCTAATAAACTTGTTTACCATGTACACTTGTGCTACCGTGCTCGAGGGGTCGAGGGTAAAGCTCCCGGGAAAAACCGCGGGCGAGTGAAGGTTTTTACTGGGGTCTCAGAGGTATTCCCGGGATCGAGACTTAGTTACTTGAGGACCATCAGCGCGGGGGGTCGTCGCTTGCTCCAGAATCTCGTCCTCTAACATACCTCGCACCATTGAGTCTGTGGGAGAGTTTGAGTCTGTAGGGGAGGTGCGCGGCGTCCCTACGCTCTTTGCACGATTTTTGTCTCGCCTCTTAGGCTTTCTCGGTTCCTCACTAGCAGTCACTTTCGGTAAATTGTGTTTGGTTTCGTCAGTATCACCTCCGGCTTCCCCGGCGGTCACCGTGGTTCTTTCCTTCTCTCGCCGGAGAGGTGGTCGAGTGAGCGGGTCGTCGCAAGAAGGTCGTACGCTCACTGGCTGGGACGTTGATCGCTGCACGTAGTTTATTCTCGTCATCACGTCGTTCATGTTGTCCTCGAGCTTCGTTAGCTTCTGGTTCATCCTCTGGATCTCCAGTTTCAGATCAACCTTCAGGAGAGAAAGAAACTTTAAATCAGAGCTTTGGCTGCTGTCTCCTCCAGAGAGGTTCCTGGACGCTGATGAAGGGTTCTTGATCCAAGCAAATGGACATAACCTCCCCTTCCTTGAATCGAATATGATTGAATCCCATTTCCCCTCCCCCCAGGCACTATTCCATGGGTATAATATGAACTATAAACCACTGCTGTGGTCTGATTCATTGTTAAGTATTTAGGTTTGAGATCTTTTGATTAGAAATAATAATATGATACTAGACCCATAGCTATCAACGCTCTAAACTTAGAAATACAGAAGAGACAATATTAAAATATGTGTACAAATGTTTCAGAATGTTGATACAGATGTAATGCTCTACATTATTATTATTATTATAATCAAGGGGAAGCGCTAAACCCGGAGGATTATACAGCGCCTGGGGGGGGGATGTGGAAGGCATTCAGGCTTAATTCGGGGAACTGGAGCACAGATCCAATTCCCTAAATCAAGAGCCCCTCACCAACATCAAGGAATCTTCCTTGAGGGGAATAATGCTCTACAGAAATGGTGCACAAAGCCTCAACCTGAATCTATAAAAATTGTAATACAACGTTTGTGTTTACATCGTCGTGTGTTGTGATGATGAAAATAGCTCTGCTTTACCTTGAAGTCCATGAGACTGGCTATGATCTGTTGACAGTCTGCTGGGGTGACGCTCGGGGTGACTGGAGCGATATAATCTGTCACGTTGCCAGAGTCATTGTCCTGAAGTTTGTTCTTGTGGTCCTTACCAACCCCGGAGTCCAGCGAGTCCAGTTTATTTAGCTTGAATTTCGTACTGCCCTCCAGAGCAAGAGTCTC